AATGAACGGTCATCATACATAGGGATGAATTGAGATAACAATGACAGAAAAGGAGGTGATTTAAAGATCCAAATTCGCAAAGGGGAATGGAGATAAGGCACTCACAGAAGAAAATGGATGACTGTTTATATATAATTATCCTTTTCGTATTCGTAATGGTAACCACATACCAAAGATTTAGAACTGAAGCATATAACATAAAACAGAAGAACCAGAGGCAAAACCTGCAAAAGCCAACCAAAATAAAGAAAACAGAAACACAAGGACAAGGAAGCAATGGAAACACAAAACTACCAGAAAGCAAAAGATAAAATAGCTATAAGAAGACTTCATATTTCAAAAATCTCCCTAAATGTAAATGGACTGAACTCACCAATAAAAAGGCACAGAGTTGCAGATTGGATCAAAAAACAAAACCCAACCATATGCTACCTCCAAGAGGCACATCTTGGCTCCAAAGACAAATATAGACTCAAAGTGAAAGGGTGGAAAATGATATTTCAAGCAAATGGCATTCAGAGAAAAGCAGGATTAGCAGTACTCATATCAGACAAAATAGACTTCAAAATAAAAAAAGGTAAAGAAAGATACTGAAGGACACTTCATAATGATAAAGGGAATCAAGCACCAAGAAGATATAACATTTATTAATATCTATGCTCTCAGTCAAGGAGCCCCAAAATATATAGAGCCTTTACTAACAATACTAAGGCAAGAAACCGACCAAAACACTTTCATAGTAGGGGACCTAAATACCCCACCATTTGATATGGACAGATCATCCAAACAAAATCAATAAGGAAATAATATCCTTAAATGACACATTAGACCAACTGGACATAATTGATATTTACAGAGCCTTCCATCCCAAAACAGCTGCTTATACATTCTTCTCTAGTGCACATGGAATATTCTCAAGAATCCACCACATACTGAGACACAGTGATAGCCTCAACAAATATAAGAGGGTTGAAATCATACCAAACATATTCTCTGATCATAATGCTCTGAAACTAGAGATCAACAGCAGAAAGAAATCAGGAAGAACCACAAATACATGGAGATTAAACAACATGCTGCTGAAGAATGGCTATGTCAGAGAAGAAATAAAAAGAGGGATCAAGAGATACATGGAAACGAATGGTAATGATAGTACAACATATCAAAACTTTTGGGACACGGCAAAAGTGGTAATAAGAGGAAAGTTCATATCATTACAAGTCTACCCCCCAAAACAAGAACGAGCCCAAATAAACAACACTTCATCTTAAAAAACTAGAAAAGGAAGAACAACTGAAGCCTAAAGTCCGCAGAAGGAAAGAAATAACAAAAATTAGAGCCAAATTAAACGAAATTGAAAAATAAATAAATGCAACAAAGCTGATTCTTTGAGAAGGTTAATAAAACTGACAAACTCTTGGCTAGACTCACTAAAGAAAAAAGAGAAAGGACATAAGTAAACAAAATCAGGGATGAAAGGAGAAATTATGATAGATAGCACAAAAGTACAAAGGATCATATAAGAATTCTATGAAAAAGTATATAACACCAAATTTAATAACCTAGAAGAAATGGACAAGTACTTAGAAAGATACAACCTTCCTAGACTGAATCAAAAAGAACTGGAAGATCTAAATAGACTGATTAGCAGAATGGAAATTGAAACAATCATCAAAAACCTACCAAAAAGCAAAAGTCCAGGACCAGATGGCTTCACCAGTGAATTCTGCCTAACATTCAAAGAAGATTTAATACCTATTCTCCTCAAACTCTTCCAAAAAATCAAAGTGGAGGCAATACTTCCCAACTCATTTTATGAGGCCAATATTACTCTGATACCAAAACCTGATAAAGATAACACACACACAAAACTACAGACCAATATCTCTCATGAACACAGATGCAAAAATCCTAAATAAGATACTAGC